CAAAAACATGCAAGCTTTAAAAAGATCCGTTTTTGCTTGAATATTAATGTGGAAGAAAAGCATCAGTGTTTGAACCATCAGCAGGAAGCTGCTCTGCAGGACAAACGCTTCTTTTCAACCCTTTATAGTTCTGCCTCATTAAAGGCAACACATCTTCCTCTGTGTTTCAGTGGACAAACCAGAACCACACAGCTTGATGCAGATCATTTTTTATTATTAAACTGCAGATTTTGCAAGAAGGGATCAACTGTACCAGTAAATATTTGCATAAGATAGAACAAGATCACGAAACACCACAAATAAACCTTAAAAACTGATTCCCCCCCTGCTTGTCGGTTCTTCAGGATCGTGTGGGTTTATCTGACGGTGGGAGTTTGGGTGTATCCCCTCCTCGGACACTTCAGCGCCGCTGGCCTGCTGGGCTTCTTCTTCTTCAACATGGTGGTGGTGACCCTGCTCTACCTGCTCGGCGACCGGCTCAACAGTCAAATCTGGAGTGAGACATGTTACTTTTATTCATGGCGTTTAGCCTCTTTGTGTCAGGTTCTCCTTTATATCGCTCCTCTTTTGTTTTTTTCATTCCAGGAAAGAACAAGGCGGAGTGATTAAGCATTTCTGCATTTCTGAGACAGCTCTACCCCTTTTAACTACAATTATTGTTTCCAGCTCAAAACAAAAATTCATAAATATTGCATGACAGGCATCCAAGCAGCAGAATAAATCAGCCTCCACACGCTTCGGTCCAGCTGTTTGTTGTGTTTAACTTGATCCAGACTTTCGGTGCACGTCTAACCAGAAGGAGAACCGCGTCTGGATCCGGTTTAACCTGAATAAGGTGCCTAATATTCTGCTGATTGTGGAGCGTCCTGAGAAAACAAGTCCAGTCTACAATGCTGAGCAGCACTGCAGTGATATTATCACAAATCTCCAGACATTCCCAGGAACATCGTTGCTTTTGAGTCCATTAGTTTCTCTTTCTTCACCCTCCTCTCAGATCTCTGAAGCCTTTGAGGTGTTGCAAGTAGTTTGGATCGGCGTCCACCAGTCCAACAGAAAGGATCTTTGCCAGTAAATGCACATCTTCCTCACTCAGGTCGTTCTGTTAAAGAGTCATGCATCAAATGTTTCATCGCTTGTGATTTAAATGAAACGGCTGCAGCTGGAAAAAAAAAAAAACTCACCAGTTTGCTGTTGGAAGAGGATTCAGGAATTTGGGACTTTTGAGGCTTTTTTCCCTGTAAACAGCAATAATCATATCAGATAAGCAGGTGTTATGTTCCTTTGCTGGTAACTTGCTTTTGTTACATTTTCAAAAATATCAAAAGGTTACTCACATCTTTCAGGCCTGTAGAAAAGCAAATTACAACAAAGAGTAATCCGGCAACGACCTGAACGAAAGAAACACACCCGTCAATACCAGAACTACCATTCCTGTCAGACACATTTTGAACCTTTACTTACTCCAACCAGCTCCAACATGTTTGCTTCTCAAGCTCCTGTTCTGCTTCTATCGCCAGCCGTGTCTCGGTTTGATCTTTATATACTCGGCTGCTGCCACCCATCAGGCTGCTGTGCGTAAGCCAGCAGGCGAAAAACTCCCTGGTAGAACCTGCAGAACAGGATGAGCCGCATCGCCAGGAAGGCACCTGATGCTGAGTCTTAACAGTAAACAGTTCAAATTGTTTGTTACGTAAAGTGCTTGCGTAAACGTTGGAGTGGGAAGAAAGCTGTTACTGACAGCGTCAGTCACTGCAGCCTGTAATCACAGGGAACCGAGACGCACTTGGAAAACATTACAATCACCTCCACCCTCATCTGTGCATCACAAAATACTTGAGAGATTTGTCAATATGACTTTCTGGAGTCTTTAACCTTCATCATGTTTTAAAAAGCCTCATTTATTTTTTGCACCATGAGAATATAAATATTTGCTCTACTCCTCTTCACTGTTTTCCTGGGACTCGCCCAGCTGCAGCTATGAGGAAACCGCTCAGCCTGACAAGGAAAACATTTTCATCCTTAACTTTAAATTAGTCACTGAAGACTTTTATAAAATAAAATAAAAAATTATTTCCTGGACCTTTTTTACCTGCTGAGCAGTTAAACAGGAATATAGTAGTTGAATTAAATGAATTGAACTAAATTAAATGAGTCAGATTTCTGAAGAAAAGGGGGAGAGCTGAAATGTAAGAAATGATTTTTGTCTTTTTACAAGAAAAGTGTTTAATTTTTCTTATTATCTCTACCTGCTTCATGTCTTTAAAGATTGAAGCTTTTGTCCGTTTTTCATCTCAAACTATGCCAGATTGGATCTGTGAAGATCAAGTTTCAAGTCTTTTATGATTGCATTCAGGTCTGTACTTTGACCAGGCCACTCTGGCACATGAATGTTCTTTGATGAAAACAGTCTCCCTGAGACTTTGTTGCCCTGCTGGAAGCTGAACCTGACTAAGTCTCAGGTATTTCCTCCATTACTGTCCTGTTTACCTCGATCCACCTGCAAATCAACTCTGACAAGCTTCCCTGTCCCTGCTGGTGAGAGTTATTCCCACAGCATGATGCTGCCAACACCATGTTTCACCATGGGAGTGACATTCAGTGTTTATTTTCTGGCAGCCAAATCATTTTGCATGCACACCTATATGCTTATTTTAGGGGTGTCTGAGTGACAAAGGATGAAAAAAAAATTCTTGCCACACTTTTCAGATCTCATTGTGGAATATTTTAAAAAGTGTCTATCCTTTTTCATCCACTTTACAGTTATTTACTACTTTATCTGTTTCATAAAATCACAATAAAACAAGAGTTTGTTCTTGTATCCTGACGAGAACCTTGCGGAAATTTCTTCCATCATGTTAGATCTGACTTATTCATGATCTGAAGTAAATTTTCCACTCTGGATCCTCGCTTGGTGAGACATTTAATAAACCGACTGCTTGTTACTCTATAAATTAAGATGTGCTAAATTAACTCACATAAACCCTCTTTTCACCCTAGACAAACTCCAACAAGCCTGGGAGGAAAAGTGTTTTGCAACAAGCAAAACTTAGTGGAAAAATACACACAAAAAAACTCCACAGAAATGCTGAATATGGGTTTCTGCACCGCCACAGGCTGAATGCGGTCACACAGGGTTAGCCGGTCAGCAGGACTTGGGTAACACAAAGGGAAGAAAAATGTAGTGCAACAGAAGTCAGACTTTCCCAAACAAACTGGATTTACACATGTAAATTCAGGGCAAACTGCACACATTAATGCATGCAAAAAACCCAAACTGCTTGGTGAAACAGAAAAAGCCAAATATAAGAAGGAACAGCTACAGATGAAGAGGCAAACATACAGAGTCACATAAAGATAGTTACAAAGTCGGCCTTCTGTCACCTGATGGACATTTCCAGGATTAAAGTACTAATGTCTCAGCCATTATCTTTAGTCACATTGACTTTTTCAACATTGTCTTCACAGGTCAATTTCAGTCCAAAAAATATTTTAAGGCTAAAAATTATTTGTTTGGTGCTGTCTTAGAAAATCTCTTAACCTCCAAACTGTGCCAGAGGTTAATTCTAGTCTTGATTACAACTTTTCATTACTTTATTTTGCCACTGGAATGTCATGTTTTTGTTTGTTTATTGGTTTTATTTATTTTTTTTAATAAAGTAAAGCACTTCAGCCACAAACATCAGATCCTCTGAGGCAGATACCAGATTGTTTTGCTCCATGAGTGATAATCAGGCTTTTGTTTCCTCGTTCCTACATTTTCAAGAAACCAGTTTTCAGTTCTCTGCCTCCATGCAGAAAAAGAAACGAATGCCAACAAGCACCACTCACCATCACCTGCTGATCTCAGAATCTACACTCACCTCCCCCCACGAAACTCCACCGCCATATTCCGATCATATCACAAGTCTTTAAATAACCACTTACTTTTCCACCTCAGTGTCATAAATAAAGCCTGGTGGCCCGACAGGCTGATAAAACACTGACTTCTGTCTATATCTCCAGTTCTAGTCGGTCTCTGGGTCCCATCCCTCACTAGGAGCCGTTTGTCCCGGCAGACCGACCCAACCTGAGGCATGAAGCCTCCAACGGCTGCTGCTGTCATGATGCTGCCATCACCTAACTGTTCTCCCTCTCCTGTTAAAGTTTCACTTCCAAGGATGAACATGGAAAGTTCTCCTGATTGTTGGCCTGTTGTTGTGTCTCTGCTCTGTGTTCTCCAGTCGCTCATGGCAGATGGCTGGTGGTAACAATTACATATTTGTCCCTAAACTGGCTTGTTCTTTGAAAAATATGCATTTTCAAAGCTTAATACTAAACTGTTGCTCCAGTCCTGACTATTATGGAGAGTGAAGATGGCCAAATGACAATAAAAAACGTATTAAATAATTTTTAAAATGTGTCATTAATTTATTACAACTCTTCACTCGCCATAGATTCTGGATATTTTGTTGCATGTTAAAATAATATAAGTTTATTAATAAATTGCTTATTTAAAAATTTACAATAAGCTTTCAGAAATACGTTTTTCTTTATTTCGTCAACAAAAATAATGTATTTGTTATTACTAGAACTTTCTAAGTATTTTAGACTTATCAAATGTCATTTTGTATTCTTGAAGATGACATTTTTTTTTTTTTTACTTTTTTTAGTAAAGTACATTTCAAAACTTGTGCTTTTCTTACTTTTACTTTAGTAAAACAATACAGCAGGGATTGTGCTGAAATGTGCTAAACAAATAAAGTTGACTGATTGATTCAGCAGTTCAACCTGTACTTTTACTTTTACTAGAATATTTTTTCATACCATTATCTGTACTTCTTCTTAAGGACAGGATGTGAGTACTTCTAAAACCTCTGTGGAAATGTTCATTCCTGATTTCATTACCGCCAGAGGGCGCCAGATGATCCACAGCCCTGAAACAAGGCGTGCTGACTCATTTGGTTTGAAAAACAGAAACAAGGTCCAACAGAACATTTCCAGATTCTTCCATAAGACGCTCTGTACCATAACGTGATATCATCAGATGAAAAAAAATAACAACATATCTTATCGGTTTAAATAAATCCAAGAAAACCTTGTTTTGGAGTGTCTTAAATCTCATATTAACACATTTACACATTTTTAATATATTACTTTTATTTTGTAATACATATCATGACTATAGTTTTCAAATATTCAAATTAAGTACATGTTGTTTTGTGAAAACTGAACGTAGCTTTATTGTGTGAGCCCGTTTGCGCACTAAAATTCAACAATATCGCTTTTGGTTTCAGATTGTTGCTATTGTTTTGTTTTATTTTTTTATTGTCAGTATCTAACTTTAACAACTCAGAAATATTTTTGCGATTTAGACGACATAATGTGAACCAGTCTGTTAGTGGAACAATTAAAAAATATGATATGTGCGAATTTTATTGATTTTACTGTAATGTAAAAAAAAAAAAACGTTTACAACGGGATCACGCATGCGCACGATGTCCATCTAGAACATTTCTGATGCTTCGCGACATTTCTTTACTACTGGGGACAAAGTTTACGGGAATATAGTACGTTTTCCGGTGTCATTGTCAAACTTTCAAAATTAAATCTCGCCATATGTTTACAACATTATTATTTTGGCACTTAGTAATCCTTTTTTGGCATATATTTATATATTAACAGTAATTATTTAGATAAAAGTGCTTTTTAACACCGATTTGAACTGTTGATGTTGCTAACATTACTGAACGACTTTTA